ATTTGCATCACACACTGATGCTGGCGTACGCGCGTGCAGGCGCAACAGCGCGCTGTGCATCGCGACGCTGGCGTTTCCAGCGCGCGCGGCGCGTGCAGGCGTCGTCCAGTTGGATCCGCAGCCAGCGGAACCAGAGGCAATGGATCGCGACAGCACGGATTACGTCGAGGCGCGAACGCGGTGCATCGCGCGCGGCAACCGGCGGTCCGTCGCGCGTCAGGTGCCGCTGGATGTCGTGCTCGCCTACCACAGGAGGCTCGCACAGTGTGCCACCATCCTTCCCCCGAGTCAGGCCCTCCAGTGGCTGCAACAGCGGGATGAGGAGGAGCGACAGCAGTGGGTTGACAGGCGCGCCGCGATCCGCGAGCTGCGAGGGGCTAGTGTCGCGAACGTTCCACCGGCGTGCAGGCATCGCCGCACGTCCATGTCGCTGGGAAAGATCATCAAGGATGTCTTCGAAAGGAGGGAGCACATGTGGGAGATCCCCGCACGCGGCTTCGCACCAGCCCCCGACGCGCGGCCTGCCGCGGACTTCGCGCGGAGCCCCGCGGGGCGCCCCGCCGCCACCTGCGGCGCAGCAGGGAGGCGCGGGTGCAGGGCGCGGGCAGCGCAACCCCAAGGGCGCGCAGAAGGGATCGAGCACCGGTTTGGCGACCCACCTCAAGAACGGAAAGGAGCTGTGCAAGAATTTCAATCGGGGGTCGTGCCCGGAGCCCTGCCCGAAGAATCTGGAGCACGCATGCTCCATGATCGTGAGCAAGAGCGGCCGCGTCTGCGGCATGAGGAATCACTGCGCCGCCGTGTGCCGCAAGGCGCCGATCCCGGAGCAGGGCGCGTTGTCGCAGTATTGAAGGGGCCCCGCCAGGGCGGAGGACAGCGCCGAGGCAGGGGGGCACGTTGCCTGTCCAGCGGAGCACGGCTTCTTTGCGCCAGCGCAGGCGGGCGCACCCAGCGCCCAGCCAGGTTTCCGCGCGCAGCAAGCGCGCGTTCTCGGCCAGGCGCAATCAGCGCAGTCATCGGGCGAGCAGAAGTCCGATGTGTCGGCGCCGCAGGCGCGAGCGCATCAGCGCGGGGCGCCGAGCGACGGCGCGTCTTCGTTTGCGCAGGCGCCGCGGGTATCGAGGCACTTCCCCGTGATGTGGTCGCAGCGCCAATTGCGGCAGTGCGTCGTCAGCATGTTCCCCAGGGAATGGCTGAGCAGTTTTGTTTTTCCGTCATTGGAAGATCTAGTCAATCAGTCGCCGTTCGTGGATTTCGCAAAGTGGCTAGACGAGCGCAGCATCGCTGGACCAGTTGGCAGCACGGCAGGCCAGGGCACGTCTGCCATGCTGGAAGCCGCGGCGGGGCGACAGGCCGGGGCGCTCTCGGCCAAGCACGCGTTGCCGCCTCTCCTGGGCCACAGCCGGGATGAGGAAGAGCATTTCCGCGCCGCGGTTGATTTCGCGAAGCGGGGGAAGTTACCGTTCGATGAGGACGTTGCTGCTCCGCATGACTTGAAATTTGCGGCGGAGTCCACCGCCGCAGAGCTGCGCGACTTGAGGGAGTTTCGGTTGCGCAGCATGCACGCGCTGCAAGAGCTTAGTCGCCGGTGCAAGCCCCTCACGGCGGAGCTCTTGAAGTGGCAGAGTCCGACTGTGCGCGCCGTGGCGGGGCATATTCACGCCGGACTCATTGCCGTGCTGGTGGTGCTCGCGCGGTGGCCAGACCAAAAGCTGGCGTTGCGCTTTGTCACCGGCTTTGGCATCACTGGCGTAATGGAGAATACGGGTGCTTTTGAACCATCCGAGTATGAAGCTCCCATGCCCGTGCACTCGCTGCTTGGAGAGTCCAAAGTCTTGCTGGCGGAACTGGATCGCCAGCGCGCGAGTGAGGAGGGCCAATTTCTCTGGGATAGCTGCGAGGAAGAGTGCAAGAAAGGCTGGGCGGCACCGCTGCGAAGCAAGTCGGACATTGATGCGGAGTTCGGCGCGGGGCAGTGGGCGCCGATTCCTGCGTTTTGCCATATTCAGCCTTCTGGAAAAAGGAGGAGAATCGACGACGGGCGTCGGGGTAGGCAGAACGAAGCGACGGCATTTTGTGAGCGGCAAAGAATGTGTACGCCATTCCAGCCTGTCATCGATGCGAGGGTGGTCCGGCAAGCGTGTGCGGACGCTGGTGCCGACGTGGCCCGCGAGAGGCTCGTGTCGGGGGGCGAAGATTTGCCGTCGGCCTATCGCTCAGTCCCAGTGCACCCAGATCACTTGCGCTTGAACGTCGTGGCGGTCCGCGATCCTGTCACGGGAGAATGGAGGTTCCAGGTGGCGTGGGCGTTGCTTTTCGGTTTCTCCGCGTCAGTCATGCAGTTCGCGCGATGGGGAGGATTCCTGCAGGCAGTGCAGCGCCGCGTGTTGTCGCTTTTGCTTGCCATGTATGTGGACGACGCGAATATTACTGATTTTGAATCAGCTGGGGGCGCTGGTCAGGAGGCCGCACAGTGCCTTTGCGCGGAGTTGGGCACGCCTGTGGCTCCCTCGAAGACGAGGAGGATGAGCCCGTCCGGCGATTTTCTGGGCGTCGTGCACACCTTCGGCCCTTCGCTGGACTCGAATGTCATATCTTTCAGGGCGCGCGACACTCTCGTCGAAAAGGCGAAGACGTTCATTGCGGCGAGGCGCAGCGAGGGCAGGCTCACGCCCGGAGACGCCAGCAAGTTGAGAGGCCTCCTCAACTTCATCGCCAGAGCGGCGTGGCACGGCGTGGGCAAAGCAGGCATGGGGGCTCTGAGGCAACGGCAGTACACAGATCAGCCGCCTTGGACCCTGAGCAACTGCCTGGTGCGCGCCCTCGATTTCTTTTATATAATTCTGCAAGACATGCCGAGCCGCGTGGCCGAGATCGCGCCGAGAAGCGAGCCTTTGATTCTCATTGCTTCTGACGCGCGCGCTGACAATGACGCGTGGCCGACAGGGGGGTACGTGTTGTTAGATTGCGCCGACGGCTATCGGCAAGCTGGCTTCTGCGTTTTTGACGGGGCTCTGCTGGGCATGTGGGGCTACTGTGAGGAGCGCTTGAGGCAGGGCGGCCAGCCCATCGCGCTGTGTGAGGGCGCGATGCCGCCCATCATCTACCAGCGCCACGCTAAGCGGCTGGCAAACCGCCGCGTGCTGTATTTCATAGACAATACCAGCTCTCTGCATTCGTACGTCAAGGGCTGCGCGGTGCCGGCCGCGCTGGATCGGTCGATTGCTTTCACTAATTTCTTGGCGAGCCGCCGTTCGATCACCACGTGGTGGGAATTCACGCCTTCGGGGACCAATTGGTCGGACGGGATTTCGAGGCAGCTAGGAAGTGACGCGTTTGTGAGGCGACATCGATTTCCAGCAAAGCGAATCGGCGTGGACAGTCGTATTTGGACGGGCAGCTTGGAGAGCGCATGGCGCTTCGCCCGCGGGTAGCCCCCACGTGTGGCTGCGACGCGCCGTTATACATTGTGTTGCTCGGTAAGTGAACAGCGTTGGGTGAGCGAGCGGGGCGTGGGGGTGAGCAGCGTTGGGGGGATCGGCCAGAGGGATGCATCGCCCCTCGGTCGGTCGGCCTCCCGTCAAGGGGATGCATCCCTCCTTGGGGGAGAGCGGCTCCAGCCGCCCCAATGTTGTTCCCTTTGGAAACCCGCTCTCTCTCACCTTAAACCTTACGTTCACTCCAACCAGCAAAAAAAAAACAATGCTTTTGGTCCCTCGGATCTAGTCTAGTAGCTAAGGTGGGCGCGTAGATTATGGGTGCACTTTAGGCCCGGGCAGGCATGGGTGAGTGCTTCATAATGTACGCGCGCGGACACCTTGGAAACGTCGCCCGCGCATGCAGCTCGGGGCGCAGGGGCGAAGAGAGGGGGGGGGCGCCCCCCCCCTTCGCTGCCCGCGCCGAGGGGCTGCGAGGAAGGGGGGGCGACGGGCCGCGGTGGCCGCGCTCACCTTGCGATTTGATTTTTCCCACCCTCCCGCCCTGGGTTTGCATTCAGCAAGCTGGGGGGGGGGCCAAGAGGGTAAGCGAAGCGACGAAGCCTCGAGCGCGACACTTCGCGCATGAGGGATGCATCTCCCCTCCGTGGTTGGTCGCGCATGAGGGAGGCATTTCCCCTCTGTTACAAGGGGGGGGATCGGCCAGAGGGATGCATCGCCCCTCGGTCGGTCGGCCTCCCGTCAAGGGGATGCATCCCTCCTTGGGGGAGAGCGGCTCCAGCCGCCCCAATGTTGTTCCCTTTGGAAACCCGCTCTCTCTCACCTTAAACCTTACGTTCACTCCAACCAGCAAAAAAAAAACAATGCTTTTGGTCCCCCGGACCTAGTCTAGTAGCTAAGGTGGGCGCGTAGATTATGACGATGATGATGATGATGATGATGATGGCAGTGGATGTGCTGGTGATAGTGACGTTGAGGACGAGGGGGGGGGGAGGGGGGTGGGGTGGGGTGGTGTTGGGGGGGATGAGGCCGAGAAGTATGCTTTGGGGGTGAGGGTCAGACCCTCATGACTCGCTGGCAGCCCGCCCTGCAGTGGTGGGCGGGCATCATTCCCAGTCCCTCTGTCCATCGAGCCCTCATCCCGCCTTCCTCATCGTGCCATTGTTTTCCTTCATCCGTTCCTCCATTCCTCCCTTATTCTCACTACGTCCTTTCCTCCTTCCTCCCTCCTCCTTCGACCCTCTTTCCTTCTTCCATCCATCCATCCCTACTCCCTCCTCCTTCCATCCCCCGCCCCTTCTCCCTTCCTTCCTCCCTCTCCCCCCTTCCCCTCCATTCTCCTCTCCTCTTCCTTCCGGAGAGGGGGATGGATTGTGGGCGAGGGGCGGGATCGAATGGGAGAGGAGAGGGAGATGGACGACGGGGGGGGCGGGGGGGGAGAATATGAGAGAGGGTGAGCAGGAAGCGCAAGGGGAGCAGTAGCGGAAGTAGTAGGAGGAGGAGGGTAATATGAAGGAGGTGGCAGAGGAAGAGGTGAAGGGAGGAGGAACTGTCCCCGCTCAGGTGGACAGCCGAAAGGTTCGCCGAGTTCTGCGTCCTCCTTGGAACGGCAGGGTGGGCACCAGGTCGTCTGCGCTACTTCTGATCGATGTGGGCTGATCGGTGAGTCTGTTTTCATGATGCTATCGCCTTCCCGTCTCTTGGTTATTTCCCCCCCCCCACCCCTCTCTCCCTCTCTCTCTCCCCCCCTTTCCCTCTGCCTGTCTGTCTGGCTGAGTCTCTACCTCTTTCTCTCTCTCTCTCTTTCTCTCCGTCTCTCTCTCTCTCTCTCTCCCTCTCTCCTGCCCTCTCTCTCTCTCTCTCTCTAGTCTCCGCTCAAGGGCTCTGCTCAGGCTCAGGGCGAGCCCAGACGCCAAGCGACCTGCATCCATTCTTACCTCGCGAGACCAGACACGGCCCCTGCCAGGCCGTGACAGATTGGCGCCACATCCCTTCAGTCCCGAGCGCGCGCCATGGCTCCGAAAGACCTCCGCAGTGCGCCCCCTGCACCACGGCAGCGCAAGCCAGCAGGCAAGGGCCGCCCAAAGGCAATTTTGGAGGATATCAACCTGTCCCGACAGGAAGCCTGCGTCGCCGCACTCCAGAGCATTGGTGGCGTCGACCGAGCAATGCGTACAACGAACTTGCTCACAAGCGTCCCGCCCATCTTGACAACATTATCAACATCAACGTAGTTTCAGGGGCGAACTGATGATCCTGGGGGGGGAACGTGACCCGTTACAACGTGGTGCATTAGTCTTTCAGGCGCAGACAAAGCGTCAGACCGCGACTCACCAGGGACCACGGTCGACGCCGATGCCCGCCAGGGTGACCGAACAAGGCCCCTTTTTTATCAGCCTGGATGTTCAGAATTGGCATGTCTTTGTGACCGCTGCGACCGTGCACGGGTGCGATAGGACGCCGCGCGCGAGTGGTATTTTACTTCCCACGCTATAGAAAGGCGACTGCCTGCTACAGCAGATCCGAACACAAAACAAACTTCTAGCGCTCGCAACTTTGGGTCATATTCGCACCGACCGCCCAGGACGCGAGATTCTCCTCCCAGTTCTCCGCCGCGTGGCCAAGGCTACCAAGCCTACGCAGGGACACAACCAAGCGAACATGTGTCGGGTAAGTTCAAATGCTGCGAACGCGTCGCCCAATCCACCCCCGACCCAGCTGACGAAGCAGCCTGGGTCTGTGCCGCTACCTGCGAGGCTGACGCTATTGCAGTCACAGTCGCGCTAGGATTCGTTCGCAGCGCAGTTCCCTGGCGCTGCACCCATCACCGGCAACCGCTTGCGGAGCAGGCGCGACACAGCAGAAGGCGAAGGAACGCCATAAGTCAGCCAACAGAGACGCCTCCCGTAAACAGCTAGACGACGATCTCACGGACGCATTCAATGCCATGTTTTCGTCCCATTTCGGCATTGCACACACGCAAGAAACCATGAAGCTCTTAGGACAGGACACCACGGCACAGCAGTCGGAAAGCACGGACTCACGGCCACGTCCGGCATTGATCCAGCCGGCACCTTTTGTCTCCTCCACATCGGGCAACGATGCATCCGGTGCGACCTCAGCTACCATGGCACCAAAGGCCGCCCATCGACAGTATCAGTGCGCGGTACCCGAATGGTTACCAGACCATGCTATTAAGGGGCGCATGCCACCTCAACGAAACACAAAACGCACGATGCAGTCCGAGCGGGCAAACAAGTCGACGTCAGCGCCATGCCCGTCACCCAACCCGGGACGCACAGAAGTTTCGCTCGAATTGTGGGGACCTGACGCCGCGCTTGCCAGCGCAAGGTGCTGCGTCGCAGGGATCGAGCCGCAGCGCGCCACCCAGGCGCAAATCGGCAGTGGCACTGTGAAGTGCGACGCGCAGGGTGGTGTGAAACGACCAGGGGGCGATTTCACCCATGGTCGAAGCGGCTGGCCCCCCCGCCGAGTGCAGCTGTCCCCGTCCAAGGTCCCCCTGTTCCCTGGACTGCCGACAGACTTGCAGCGACCTTTCCTGAACAAGCCGACTCCCCGAGAGGGCCCGCGGCAACGATCGCCCCACCGTGCTCCATCGCGGCGGAGAAGCCTGTGGTGGGGCCGTCCACTGGGGCAACGGGGGGCAGACCCGCCCCCGTCCCTGCAGGGCCGTGCGGCCACCGGGCCGCGCCTCCGAGCGCTGCGAACACCACGGCCGAACCCAGCATCGACGCTGCCTCTGAGCATCCCGCCGCCCAGAGGAAACAGCCGCGCAGCGCCGTCGTGCGAGGGTCGCGCCAACGCGCCAGCATCACCAAGAATGAGGGCCGACGTCGCGCCCGACCAGAGACCCCCTCGCCCTACGAGACGCAGACGGCTGCGACGTGGCAGACGAGGCCACCGAGATCGAACGTGCCAGAGCCCCGCCCCTGCCCATGGCCGGCCAGCAGGGAGAGCTGTGCCACGAGGACCTCTCCGACGAAGGGTGGTTGCCCAGCTCAGGTGGTCGTTGTATTTCCGACGAAGCGGATGGGAGGCTCCGAGACCTGGAGGATGACCAGCAGAAGTTGACCGACAAGTTCAAACGGCTCGAGGCAGCTATCATCAGCGTGGCCAGCAGCCAGGCCCAGGCCATCCTCGCTTGGCAAGTTCACCAGTTCGACCAAGGAATGCACGCGGTCCAATCTGAACAAGCCAGCCTGGGCGAAGACCTCGGGGCCTTTATGAGCCAAGCGGCACCTTTCGTGTCGCTGGCCCATACTCAAACGACCCAGGCAACACTGAGCCCGCCCAACGCTGCCCCGAACGCCCCGGGACTAGCCAGCGAGGCCAGCCCCGCAGGCGTCCCCGAAATCCAGGCGGCAAGAGAAGGCGAACGGGCACCCGAGTTCTCTGGCATTGCGCGCCCCGTGCCAGGGCCGCCGCCGGGGCCGTGTTGAAGGGGCCCCGATGGGCCGCCTTGGCCCCGTCGAGGCAACTGGCGCCGTGGGATGTTGCATACAAGTGGGCCCCCTGCAGGGGCATGGGTGTTGGGAACGCTATTGCTTGGGTCTCGCTCTACGCTGACCTTCTAGTTGCCATCAGCGTCCTACCTCCTCCTGATGAGGGGGAGGAGGAGGAGGAGGAGGAGGAGGAGGAGGAGGAGGAGGAGGAGGAGGAGGAGGAGGAGGTGGGGAGGAGGAGGAGGAGGAGAGGAGGACGAGGAGGGGAGAGGAGGAGGGAGGAGGAGGATGAGGATGATGATGATGATGATGATGATGATGATGATGATGATGATGATGATGATGATGATGATGATGATGATGATGCTGATGATGATGATGTGATGATGCTGATGCTGATGCTGATGATGATGGAGGAGGAGGCGGAGGAGGAGGAGGAGGAGGAGGAGGAGGGGGGAGGGGGAGGGGGGAGGGGGGATGGAGGAGGAGGAGGAGGGGGAGGGGGAGGAGGAGGGGGAGGGGGTGAGGGGGAGGAGGAGGGGGGAGGGGGAGGAGGAGGAGGAGGAGGAGGAGGAGGAGGAGGAGGAGGAGGAGGAGGAGGAGGAGGAGGAGGAGGAGGAGGATGAGGAGGAGGAGGAGGAGGAGGAGGAGGAGGAGGAGGAGGAGGAGGAGGAGGAGGAGGAGGAGGAGGAGGCGGGAGGAGGAGGAGGAGGAGGGAGGAGGAGGAGGAGGAGGAGGAGGAGGAGGAGGAGGAGGAGGAGGAGGAGGAGGAGGAGGAGGAGGAGGAGGAGGAGGAGGAGGAGGAGGACGAGGAGGACGAGGGGTTTGCGCTCGCTTCTGCTCGCGTAGCTGCCTTCGGCACTCGGCGTCCGCAGCCTTCGGCTCAGCGGCGGCTGCCCGCCCGCCGCGCGCTGGCGCCCACCCGCTTCGGGTCGGCGTTCTTCTGCGCCTCGGCCCCATGGGGAACTTCTCAAGCAGTGGCGAAGCGTCCCGGCGTGCCTACGGTAGGTTTGCGTCGTGTCGACTCGCGGCGACCCCAGCGCGGGCGTTCAAGGTCGAACGCCGCCGGCGACCCAGAATCGATCGATGTTGAACGATCGGACGTTGCGGCAGCGGCCGATCGTTCAAGGTTGAACGATCCCTGCGGTGTCAAAAACCAACGCTGGGGTCGGCACGACACGGACCTGCCGTATAGCCATACCAAGCAATGTCCTAAGGCCTTGTTGTGGTTCCCACGAGATGTTCTCAGAGCATCTCTTGCTGGGGCCGTCTTGTTTGAGCGCGTGAGGCTTATGTTCTAAGAACACTGTTTTTGTTCTTGGAGCCTGTTTGGGTTCTAAAAACATTCCGTGGTAGGACTATAGGAATGCCGGGACGGTCGGTCCCTGCTCAAATTTGGCGCACGCCCCGGCCCATGCCCGAGGCGCGAATCTATCAGGAGGGGAAAAGACACACAGACACAACGAATCGTCGATTCCCCAGAAGACGTGGAAACATATGGGAAGTGGGGCGGGAAGACACTAGCACATAAGATATGGGAACACATGGGTGAATCCTGTTATGTGTGTGTATTTATTTGTGTGCCCCAGGGCCCCTTCAATCTAAGTGGCCCAGGGATAGGGGCGCCAGACCCCACCCGAAAGCAGCCCCCCAGCGGCGCACCATTGAAACGCAGAGGGGGAAGCTGGGTCTTTCGCCGGCGTTGGCGACGAGCGGCGCCGCGCTGTCCTTGCGCCTCCGTCCGAGTTCTCGAGTATTGGATCAATGCGCCGCCCCAGCAAATGCTCTGCGCACCGGGATAAACGGTGAACGTTGGCGGGCCGATCCAATCAGTCAGCCGCACCCACATCAACAGCACCCAGAGTCCAACGTGGGACATTAATTTCTGGATCGAGGCAGATCTTATGCCAACGACCAGTAAGCGCAGTCTCTATCCTGGCCAGCGGAACTCTGCGCCAGGAGCGTCGTCCAGGCTCCACATCGGGCCATGCATTGTATGTTCCCAGGGTTATGATGTTCCAACCTACCTTAGCCTTGACAGCCAGAAAGAATTTCGAGCACCAAGAAAGTGCCGAAACAGGAGGGTTGTCACGCGTCGGGCCCTGCGAGGCGGTACTCGTTCGACATCGCTCCGGTCGTTT